CACATATCTTTTGTGTTGCTGTTTTGTTTGTTACTACTTGATCTGCTTGCACATTCTCTTGTAAGGTGGTCAATAAGATCTTTTTTGAGTTTGTCTCCTAGTGATCTGCATTCGAACAGGTGTAATTCTGTTTCTACTTCTAAAAGCATATTTTACATTTGTTGTCGGTATATAGTTTGTCTTTGTGATTGTGAAGTCTACTCATTGTGGGCAGTTCTGATGTCCATAATTTGGTGTGGAATGTTCTGTTTCTCATGTTCTCTAAACTGGTTTCTGTTGTTGTGATTTTGGATGGGTATAATGTTAGGAAGGTTAGAGGTCAGTTTATCTCTAGTGCTTTTTATTTGTTGAGCCATCGATTTGTTCTTTGTTGTGCCCTCCATTTACTTGACCATTTAGTTTTGAGAATACTTTTGATTATGGACTTGATTGGTAGGTCTATGTGTTCTTTATTCTATTTAGTTAGAAGGCTGTCGTCCATTATTTCTTCGTAGTTAGTATGTAGTGTGCTTCTGTTTCTTTCCCATGGCTTGATTCTTGCCAGTGCATCTGCTCTGTCGTTGCTTGGGTTTCCTGAATGTCCTTTGATCTTTGTGAGTTTCCAGTTGATATTTTTCATTTTGAGGATTTCGATTATGGTTTGTGTGATTGCTCCATTGGGTGTGTTAAGGGCTTTTCTGTTTTGTGAATATCTCTCTGCATTTAAATTTTTTTCCCTTTTCTTTATATTGTTTATTGCTGCTTGACTGTCTGTAATTATTTTTACATTTGTGTCTTCTTCAATTGTACTAATTGCTGTTAGGATGGCCATCAGTTCTGCTCTTGTGGACGAGGGTGTTTCTGTTGTTTTACCTGAGAATTCTGCCAGTGTGTTGTTTGTAGTGTCTTGTATTGTCCAACCAATTCCCATTTCCGTTTGTTTTTCATTGGGTTGTAGTAATCCATCTGTATATATTTTGAGATCTTGGTACCCACTTATTTTTTTTGCTATATGGAGGAGTTGGTTTTTAGCATCAGGATCTGTTTTGATTTTTGTATTAATTAGGTGTATTGTATTGGATGTTTTATCCAAGTGTATCTGTGGCATGTTTCTTTCGTATGTTGTTTTTCCTGGGATTTCCTTCAGGGCTTGCTCTATTCCTTTGGGAGTGGAGCAAAGTCTGTCTTCATTTAGGCCTGTACTTTTTTCTGGGAGTGGAGCTGCAGATTTTCTGCTCTTCTGTATTGTAATGTCGACTGCTCTTGAACTGTCTATTTCCATAATACATTGTTGCTGTTCTTGATATTTTGAACTGATTTGTTAATTGTTGAGTGTGCAACCCTTACATTTGTATAGCGGTGAGTTGTTATTTTCTTGAATCATGTGATAGTAAATTGCTGTATTCTGATTGGTTATTTTCTTCCGCTTTGCCATGATTGTGTTTTCGTTGATTGAGGTTGCTATCCATTTATTTGTACATTGCTTGTTCAGGTAGTATAATGGATTGTTAGTTTTGAATGGATTAGTTGAATTTTTTTTGTTTGGTAGTATTTTGAGGTTATCGTAGTTGTTTTCGCTGGCATTGATACATAGAATTTTTCTGATGTTATGATACCATTTGGGGGTTCGTCCTTGTCTTCCTATTGTTTCCTTGAGCTGTTGCCATGTGAGTATTCTGGTTAAATTTGTATTGAGGAGCTGTTCTACATGTAATATTTTCCTGTTCTTAAGTGCATCTCTGTTTTTGTTGTACCATTTTGGTGAAGTAATGGATTCTATTGAGGTGTTGCCTCCTTTTGGTGCTATTGCCAATATGGAGTATTTGGTTGTGGCAAAAGTTATGCCGTGGATTTTAAGTAAGTATATTATGTTTTCGGTGAGATTGTTGTGTTTGCATGGCCATTTGGGGTGAGTATTTGTGAGGATTGATTGTGTTGACCAGATGTTGTTTTGGAGTTGTTGTAGATGGATTTGTGTTGTTTTTTCACAGGTGTCTTTGCTTTGTATTCTATTGAACTGTTGCTTCCATGTATTAATATTTGTCTGTCCCAGATGTTGAAAAGTTTGTAGCCAAAGTCTGCATAAATTATACTGTTAGGGGTTGTGATTGGAAGATTACTCTTTTGTTTGAAGGCTTTTAAAAGTTTGCTGTTGAGCTTGTCGCATTCTTTTTCTATGAGTATGGTGTCATTTAGTAAGTATTCGATTGCTGGCATGAGGACTTGGTTGATAATATAACGGCATTGTTTGTCCGTTATTTTCTTCCATGCTAGTAGTTTTGCTGTTGTTGTTATTTTTTCCTGTATTATGTTTTTTTGGAACCGTTTGCTTCCTGACTCTGTGATCCAGGTTCTTAGAATTCTAATTGGTGTGTTTTTTTCTTGCAGCATTACTTGGATTCCTGACATGTTTATTCCGTTTCTCCTGTCTTGGTCTGGTACATTGATACATATTAGTCCAGACTTGTCCTCGTTGGCTTTAATGTCATTGATTAGGAAAAATTCTGTTGCCGTTTCTAATATTTGGGACATGTTATTTTTGTTGTTGGTAAACCAGGTTGTGTCGTTCATGTATACTGATGAAGTTATCTATATGCTGTTTTTTGTAGTGGGAATTTTGTCAAGGGTGTTGCTAATTGATAGGTCTACGTGGTATTCTGTTGACATTGTATATCCTGTACATGATTCTGTGACTTCTTGAAGAAGTGGATCATAAAAGATATGCCACAGGAGTGGTGATATTGTATCTCCTTGGTCTATGCCGTCTTCCACCATGTATGGATTTGAAAGTCCGTGGGCTGTTATGACTCGGTTTTCTCTGTTGAAGGTAAGGTCTTGTAGTATTTGTTTGATTTGTATTGGCACTTGTACTCTGTCTAGTGCTTTTATTAACATGTGCTGGCTGATTGAGTCAAAGGCTTTGCTTATGTTCTGGCTAAATATCTACAGTTCTTTGTTGTTTTCTCTGGCATCTTCCACTATGTTGTTTAGGATGTGTATAGGCTGTTGTGTACTATTTCCAGGGAGGCCTGCCCAGTTGTTCTGTGATAGAATTGAATGTCGTGATATTGTTGATGCTAACCTTTTGTTCAATATATCTGTGAAGAGCTTTCTGATTGTTTCTAGGAGTGTAATGGGACGTGTGATTGTTATGTCTCCCATCCAGTCTTTGGGCTTAGGTATTGGATATATGTTCCCTTTTTTCCAATCGTGAGGAATTATACATGTGGATAGAATTTTGTTAAATATGTTTCTTATGATTTCTGTACTATGTGGACCCATGTGTTTGTAAATAATGTATGGAATATCTAAGGGTCCTGGAGCAGAAAGTGGTTTTTTACTGTTGATTTCTGTTCTGATTTCCTCTGGTGTTATTGGTATTGTACAGTTGTTGTACCATTTTGGATTGATGTGTTCTTTGGATTTATATTGCTTTTCCCATTTTGGAAAGTTTTGTAGTGGTCTGGTATTTCTTCTTTTTGTCCATTGTTTAAAGTGATCTCTGGTGGTATCTTTGATTTGTAGTGGGTCTGTGATGATTGAGATTGTACCATCTGTTTCATGTTGGACAAGCCTGTCTGTTGTTATTGATCGTTTGTGTCAGTTGAGAATACTGTTGATCATTTTTTTGGGGTCGTCTTTGAGTTTTTGAAACCTTTGCTCTATATGTCTTTGTATTCGCTGTGTATTGTCTTTTTTAATTAGCTTTGTTGCCAGTCTTCTTTCTATTCTCCATATGTTGTGAATTGATGTGAGCCATTCTTTCCCTTCTTGTGACAGTTCTGTATTGTCTTGTGGGAAGAGTGGGTTGGAGATTTGTTTTTTTTCCTCGTTCAGTTTTGTTACTAGGTTGATTATATTTTGTTCAAGTTCTGTGGATCTTTCTTGTGGTTTTATAAGCCATCTTCTATATTTTCTATATATTTGTTCTGTAATGTGTGTGTTTTTGAGTATGTTGTTGTGGTGTGGTGATCTTTAATTTTGACGTCTTTTTCTGAATTTTTGTTTTTTGAGATTTCTATTGGCTTCTTGTAGGATGCTTTCTTTAAGGAGACTTCATATCTTGTCAGCCTGGTAATTGTTTTCGAGAGTTGCTTTTGCTATGTTGGTTGATTTTGCCTCTAGCTCTTCTGTAAATTTTTTCTATTGTCTTGCTGTTGTGTTTATAAAGTCGTATCTGGATCTGTGGAGATTTTTTGAGTTGGTTGTTCCTGTAAGGTTTTGGGAGGCTATTAGTTGTGCGGTTATGATCTTGTGATCACTACTGGTTATAGTGTTGGATGCGAGTATATCGGCTTTTGTGATGCTGTTTGCTAAATTAGGTGATATCCAGATATAATCTATTCTACTTCCGTAATTGGATAAGGGTCTTGTATATATGAATCCTGCTGTGTGAGGATGGAGCTTTCTGTATGTATCGATATAGTTGTGTACAAGTAAGTAGGTAATAAGACTATTATCTTTTCTTGAGCGTGTTGGGTTGGTGCAATCGAGATGTGGGTCGAGATGTGGGTCAATGATTTTGTTGAAGTCACCCAAAAGGATGATATGCATGTTTTGTTTCTCTCTTTCCCTAATCTTCTTGAGTGTTCATGTGATTATTTCTGTTCTTTTTGTTTTTTCCTGGTTGTTCGCTGGTATATATATATTAATGATTCTGTACTTGTTTTTGTTTTTGAATGAGAGGTCTACTAGTATTCCTCTGTTGAGGGTTGATTGTATGTGATATACATGTGGATGCCATTTTTTGTTGATTATAAAGCCTACTCCCGATCCATTATGGTTATGTTTGGAGTCAGGCTGGGATTGTATAATATTATATAACTTGTTTTCGTCCCATATATAGTTGTTGGATAGTAATGATGTTTCTGTGATTCCAATAATATCTATGTGTACTTCTTGCATATAGTTAATTAGTAGATTGAGTTTGGTTGTATCATTTAAGCCTCGAACGTTGTGTGTTGCTAATTTCCATGAATTCTTTTTCTCCTCTGGAGGATTGGTTTTCTCCTGTTGTTCTGTCATTGGGTGAGAGTAGTTGGAGTGTTGTGCGTGCTGTTTGTGGAAGGAGTGTCGGGTATAAATGTATTGATGAGTTTTTCCATTGTTTCATCCATCTTGTTGATTTTCTGATTGATTTGGGCTTGTGTTTCGATAAGGTCTGAGTTGTTGTCAATGTTAATGGTTTTAGTTGTTGTTGATTGTGAATTCTCTTTCATTTGTTCCATCTTGTCAAAGTGTCTGTTGGCTGTGTCTGTTTCTAGATCGCTGATTCTATCATCTAGGAGTTTTACTTCTTTGCGTATCTCTTTGATTTCTGCTCAGATTTCTTTTAGCATTTGTAATATTTGTTGGTGGTTGTCTGATGCATAGTTGTTTGTTTTGTGGAAGTGTTTGGCCACCTCTGCATAGCTTCTTGCTGAGCTTTTATGTAAGTACAAAGGTGGGTTGAGTTGGTTTGGATATGTTGTGGTTGTGTATTTTCTTGAATAGTTTTGATTGTATTGTGTACTGTTATTGTAGTTGTATATGGGTTTTTCTAGACAGTCTCTTGATTCGTGTTTATGTGAGCAACAGTGAAAACAGAGTTTTGCTGCTCTGTCTATCCATGTGACGTCATGTCCTTTGACCTGAAAGTTTTGATTGGTTGCTTGTTTTCTATCTTCTTGATTATGGAATGAAAATATGGCTAGTCTTTTATAGTTACTGTTATCTTTTTTGGGAATGTAGCATGTTTGTGCATTGACTTGTTTGATGATGTGTTCTAGATCTTTTGCTGTGATGTTTTCAGGGAGATTTGCGATCGTGGCTGTATACTTGTTTCTGTTTTCTTTTGCTTCTCTTGTTCCAAAGTATGGAAAAATTCTCATATGGTAGTTTTTGTATAAGATGGACCATTTTTGGTTGAGTTCTTGATAATCATCCATATTGTGTAGTGTAACAGTACTCGACAAACAGGAATTGGCCTGTTGGATTGTGATTTAGTCGATCGGTCCATAATTGGCCAGTACTGTTGCTATGTCTTTTTTGGTGAGATCTGTGGAAATATCCCAGATGCAAATTGTGCGCGAGAGTGCTTCTTTTGTATCTGTAGCTTGGACTTTCCTGAAGAAGGTGTTGCCTCCTTCTACAAGTGAAGTTGTACATGCTTGTTCTGCTTTGTCATATTTTCCAAAAAGTGCTACCAAAATTTCTTCTTCTGTGTGATTCTCATATCTTGTATATTTGTATGAAGGGATTTTGGCCATTTTCTTCTTAATGTATTGGAGTTTATCTGCTAAAGTGGCTCCTGAGATTTTTCCAGGGGCTACGGCAATTTTAGTTAGTCTGGTGTATTCTGTGGTGATATCATTTTTTCTTGTACTTTGTTGGTCTTTGTCTGTGGTGCTGTATTCTTGGTTAACCATTTCTTTGTCTTTGCCTTTGTCTACTTTTGTGTAGGGCTGCTCTGCATCTGACTCTTCATCCATGTCTATCATTTCCTGGCTTTGGGGAGCTTCTTCCATGTCAATGTCTTTGGTGGTTGTTGCTTCTGGAATTTTTAAGAGGGGGCGTTGGACTGAAATTTCTTTGTTGTTGAGTGTCGTATTGTTGTTGATGTTGTTGGAGACTTCTTGGTTGTTGTACGTATTCTTGTTGTTGTTGTTATTTTCTTTGTTATTGTTGTTGTTATTGCTCGTGCTTGTATTGTTACTACTGTTATTGTTATTATTGTTGTTGTTGGTTTGGATTGGACGTGTTGGTTTTGTTTGAGACATATTGTCTATTGTCGAGTATGGAATGAAAGTAGTTGTTGGTGATGTTTTCTTTTTCATTACTTTTTTGCTTGCCTTGGAGAGTTTGTTCAGATCATATTCTGGTGTCTGTTCTCTGTAGAGGCTTCTGAGGCCTTTGGAAGATGACATCTTGAATGTCTTGGACGTTTCAAAGTTTCTTTTTTCTTGAGTTACCAAAAAAGGAAATTTTAAGGGTTGGAATGGGAACGGGAAAGAGTTTTTTTGAAAGTTGCGAAAAGATTGAATTGTTCAAAATATTTTAATTTTAATTTAATTAATATTCTAAATAAAATTAATTATTTTATTTTTATACTTGAATATTTATATATTTTTTAATAAAAAATATAATTTAATAGAAAAACCAAAACCTTGACAAATAAATTTGTTACTTTATATTCTTTATATTAAATGGTTTAAAATTAAAACACAAGTTTTAAAGCTTTTGAAAATTCTAAAAATAAAGGATTTTATTTAATTTTAGATTCTTTAGATAATATTATATTTTAATTTTAGATATTTATATAAATTTATTTAGAAATATACATGTGATATAAATTATTTACTATTGATTCAATTCCCAAAATCTCCAAAAATAATTATGTCAATTGCATCAAGAATCTATGAATTTCAGCATCATGTATATTTAGAAATAATCATTTTTAATATTATTATAAAACAATATTTTAATTATAAATAATTATAAAAAGATATAATTAAAAAAATTATAATAAAATAATATCAATATTTTTATTAGATATTCTTTAATAAAATAAACAAAATTATTTAATAATAAAAGTATTTTTTAAATATTTAAATTTAATTGATAAATATCTTGTAAAAAATTTTCATAATCTTATTTAAAAAAATATTATTTCAAAATCAGTAAATCCAAAAACTCTTAAACAATATTGTATTTTTATAGATTTGCAACTTACCAGACTATCTGGCAGCACAATGCACAATCAAGGTCAAATGCCAGAAAAAACAACTAGTACTTAAAGAAAAAGCAGAAAGATATAAGGTACTCTAGAAACATTTCAAACTAGAGGGAACAACAAAAATCAGAAAAATTGCAAATCAGCAAACCAATAAAATAGGAAATCAAGATAGGCTTAGAGCTTAGGAACAATTCAACAAGACTACCGTCAGATTTATAGATAAAGAATTATTCGTACATATAGTCAAAAAAATTTCTAACAAATCATTAAACCTAACAGCAGGAAATCCAGTAGCAATGATCAACCTCCAGTCATTACTAACAGAAGTCCTCAAGGCAGTTTAAACAATAAAAGCATAGCTGAAACAAATCAAAGAAACAATTACTGACCTCAACACCTGAATTGATAACCTAGAAAACTTTGTATACTATTATACAGTAGATAATAAAAAACAAATGGAAACAGTTATTGATACAGGCAAAGAATACCTGAATCAAAACCCATCATAATTAGAAATCCCAGAACCTAGAGACTTCAACTACTAACAGAAAAGACAAGCAACAAGCCCAACAGTAGACAACTCAGATATTAGAAAACAACAACTTAACCTCAATATACAGATAACAAACATCGACAATACCTTTTAAAATATAATAGGCATACTCAATCAACCCATTGATATTACAACAAATACAAACTCCAATCCAACAACCTAAATAAGCAACAAAACCAGATCCAATAAGTGACATTCCAAGAGGTCAACACCTATACACATTGAAAACAACCTACTAGATAACAACCTACTCTCTTATCATCAAACTATTACATTATGAAAAATTTTAATACACAATATCAGAGATCTTAACAATCTTATCAAACAATAGACAATATTCACATACTGTATTCTTAGAGACATTTTTTTTTTATTGCTAAAGTGAGACTGTATTCTAGTCCACATTTGTTTATTAATAGATAAGTCATTACATACAAGGTATATACAAAGTTAATCTATCCAAAATGCCTATATATACTAGAATCCATCCACAGGCGTAAACCATCTGGGTGCAGCCTATCATCTAAGATTTTCTTTTACATCCTCCAGCCTCAAATTTGTAAACCTTTCAGTAAAGTTATTTAACACTATATGAATTACCCATCAGAGTACTGTGACTCTGTCTTTTTCCAGTTTTCTTCCTAGTACACGTGGTCTTGGAGAATTACCATTTGAAAAAACAGATGGAACCTATGTCCAGGGGTTGTTTCAATATCTTTAAATCAGGGTTGACAATACAATTCTTTTTATATAATGCCAGGCTTCAAGAATAAGTTGTTTATTTAAGAAAGCGCAACTCCTCCAAAGTCAGGCTAAGTCTTAAGAGGAGTCTTCCATTCTGACAATTGTTACCAACTAAGTACCTTCACTACAGGTAAGAATGGTGGATATTGCTGGTGAGTCGTCACTCTTGCAGAAGGGGGAATCGTGTTAGAAAGTCTTGCTGAAAAGTTTCCAGTTTGTGGTCCTCCATATTATATTTCTTTTATAGTCTTGTGAACTATAGGAAGGGGAAACAGCCTATTTATGAAACTGGGGATTGCACTAAACTTGACAATAATCATCGTAACACCAACTGGATGATCATCACGCCACAACACCTTTTTCTAGAAATCACAATCTCAAACGCCCACTGGATCAGCATGTGAAATGGCTTTTTATGAGAAACAGTGCTTAACAGGTTATGGCATCAGATATCATATTAATTCTTATTCAACCACTCTCATATGGGGTTAAACTGGTATCTTGTGATTTGACCTGTGGAGTGTTAACCACTACACTATAGACCTACAGGTCTATTCTTAAAGACATTGATATTGCTCTTCTTACAAAAACACAAATACAAAATGAAAATCACAAATACTGGAAACATCCAACATATAATATAACTTGGAGCAACAATAACAAAGGAGCTAGAGTCACACTTCTAATTAAAAAAAACATCAGCAAATACATAGGAAAATTTATAAAATACTCAAGAAGGAGAATAAATGCTGACTTGCAATTCAAGAGAAAAGAACATATTGGCATCATAGGAATATACTGTATATACCAGCAGAAGATGGCTAAGAAAAGAGAAAATAAACAAATGGATAGAAGACGAAATTTTAAAGAAACATGAAAAGAACTGGAAAACAATCATCCTAGGGGATTTTAATTCAGTAACAAATTCACAGAAAGACCAATAATTAGGGATTACAACGGTTCAGTTTGAATCAGTTTTAATCAAAACCGAAATCGATCTGATTTATTTTTTTTAAACCGATCCGATCCAAAAACCGATCGGTTTTAATTTTTTGTAAACCGATCTGATCTGAAACTAATCAATTTATATAAATATAATTTTATTAAATTGCTTTATTTCAATAAATATAGCTAAAAACTGTTTAATTTAATTTTTT